GGAGGGTCCTGAGAGCGGAGGGGCCATTTTAATCAGTGCAGGAGCTGGAGACTGTAACATCTACACAACGGACTGCCAGAGAGGACAGGGCCTGCATGCGCTGAACGGACACACGGGTACACAAAAAAAAAAAGATTTTATATTATATAAACACACAGATCCTCAAAAATATGTTGGTTTGTGTGTGTTCTCTCTCCTCAGATCATATCCTGTCTCTGTACACATGGGGGGGCTGGATGATAGCATCTGGCTCTCAGGATAAGACGGTGCGTTTCTGGGACCTGCGTGTTCCCAGCTGTGTGAGAGTGGTGGGGACTGCCCTCCACGGCACAGGTGGGATTCACTTCCTTCATTTTACTCTTTCATTTTTACTTTGCCTGCTAAAAAAATGCCAGTTTCTGATGGTTGCTGGGTTTGTATTGTTTTTAGCTGGTCTACACTGGTCATTTATGCTTATTGGCTGGTTCAGACTGGTCTAGACGGTTGACCAGATGCTAGTAAGGCTGAAATGGTCATGGTAGAGCATTTAGGTCAAGCTGATCAGAAATGGTAACAGCTATCGCGCTTCAAAAACCAGCTTCACCACCTTGAGCTGGTATGACCTGGTTTTTCCAGCAAGGAACCTGTATATCTGACCTGATTCACTGGGAACATTATGTGGCCACCATTTCACATACGAATGTGCTTTAATCTGCAATTTTGGCATGATATTACAAGATTTAAGTCACTTTCAGACCAGTGTTATTTTAGTATCATTGATATAATATTATAGGTTTTATTAGTATTTTGAATCCGTTTTTATTTTTACATGTTCTGTTTTCATTTTAAAACATTTTTTTAAACATTTTATTTTATTTTAGTTCAAATTTATTTCAAGTAATGAAAGTTTTTTTTTTCCCCTGTAATTTTTCCTATAATACATTGTAATTTTTCAGCACACAGTGTATGTCTTTTTATGTGCCATTCAGAAATATTGTGAGAATTTTTTGACAAAATGAAGTGAATATAAATCTTGTCTCCTAAGTTTGTGATTGTTCATGTGGTTTATGTTGTGTGTGATTTCACAGGCAGCCCTGTGGCGTCGGTGGCGGTGGACCCGAGCGGGCGTCTGCTGGCAACAGGGCAGGAGGACAGCTCCTGTATGCTGTATGACATCAGAGGCGGACGCATGGTTCAGACGTACCGACCGCACTCCAGCGATGTCCGATCGGTGCGCTTCTCCCCCGGGGCTCATTACCTGCTCACGGGATCCTACGACACCAAGGTCATCGTCGCTGACCTGCAAGGTGAGATCTCAGACGCCCCTTGTTGAATTTAATACATGAAACCAGTGCTATTGTAGTATCACGGAGATACTATTATAGTTTTTGTTAATATTTTGAATCATGTTTATTTTTAATATTTTCTGTTTTAACAAAAGTAAAACGTTATTAATTTTGTTGTGTTTTTTTACATTTTAATTTATTTTACTACCTTTTTATGCCTCCAATGAAACCAGTGTTATTGAAATACTATTACAGTTTTTATTAATATTGTGAATCAGTTTTTATTTTGATATTTTCTGTTTTCATTTCAATTTTAGTTGGAGGTAAGTTTGGAATTTTGTCATTTTCATTAGTCTTTGTAGTTATTTCAGTATATCAGTGTATTTTACTACATTTTTACACCTCTATATACTGCAGGCCAAAAATTACCTATAGTATAGAAATCCATTTTAATTATTTAAATTTTCAGATTAGAAGTTACATGGTGGTGAGAGAGAGAGAGTAGGGCTGGACGATATGACCTAAAATCAAAATATCGATTAATTTAACATTTTACCTCAATTATGATTATTGAACGATTTTTGATTTTCATTGACAAGGTGGGATATTTTTTTTCTAATGATACAGTGCATGCCTTATCTT